CATTTAGAAATTCCCACAACAGCTACACGTTTAGCTTTACCTAATGGCTTTGATCAACCACTTGATTTTATACCACCCACCATAAATTCTTTGCTTTTAGAAAACATCAAGTATCAATTAAAACCTGATTCAATTCCAAAAACAGTTAAACATTTATATTTAAAAGGTAGTTTTGATCAACCACTTGATTTTATACCACCCACCGTAGAATTGTTGTATTTGGAAAACATCAAGTATCAATTAAAACCTGATTCAATTCCAACAACAGTTAAATATTTAACTTTACAAGATGGTTTTGATCAACCACTTGATTTTATACCACCCACCGTAGAATGGTTGAATTTGAAAAACATCAAGTATCAATTAAAACCTGATTCAATTCCAAAAACAGTTACACATTTATATTTACAAAATGGTTTTGATCAACCACTTGATTTTATACCACCCACCGTAGAATTGTTGTATTTGGAAAACATCAAGTATCAATTAAAACCTGATTCAATTCCAAAAACAGTTAAACATTTACATTTAAAAGGTAGTTTTGATCAACCACTTGATTTTATACCACCCACCGTAGAATGGTTGTATTTGGAAAACATCAAGTATCAAATAAAACCTGATTCAATTCCAACAACAGTTACACATTTAGCTTTACAAAATGGTTTTGATCAACCACTTGATTTTATACCACCCACCATAGATTGTTTGCATTTAGAAAACATCAAGTATCAATTAAAACCTGATTCAATTCCAAAAACAGTTAAACATTTATTTTTAGAAGGCAGTTTTGATCAACCACTTGATTTTATACCACCCACCGTAGAATGGTTGTATTTGAAAAACACCAAGTATCAATTAAAACCTGATTCAATCCCAAAAACAGTTACACATTTATCTTTACTAGATGGTTTTGATCAACCACTTGATTTTATACCACCCACCATTGAAAACTTGTATTTAGATAACATTAAGTATCAATTAATGCCTGGTTCAATTCCAAACTATTTTACTACTCTTATATTTGATAATGGTTTCTCTCAACGTTTTACAAAAGGTATTATCCCTGACTCTATAACTAATATTTATATTGGTGATGTGGTATATCCTTTAGAACCTCACTCCATTTCAAACCCCGATCAAACAATTGAATATCTCTCTAACTACGAACATCCAAAAATATAAAATTAAAATTAAATATAATAAAATATAATAAAATATAATAAAATAAAAAAATAAAATTCGGATATCTTGTAAACGATAGATATCTTAAATGCTGTTGTTCAATCGGTTCCTCAAATAGAACTAGTTATCAACTGATCAACATCCAATACCAGACTCTTTATCTGGAGACAGAAATTAAAACAATTATATACAATCGAATAAAATAAAATAAATGTTATATAAAAAAAAGAAATAAATAAATATGCTGTACTATAAAATTTTGTTTTATTGAAACTTTTGATTTCGTTTGTAAATTTTATACTTGAATATGAAACCCTTTTTATAATTAACCTAGATTACCATCAAAACCAATTCTTGAGATTATGGGGATACTAGCGACCCATTAGATTACCTAACTACAGTACTTTAATATTTAGCTCTTTACGCATCTATACACTCTATCATATGATATCTTTAAAACATTACCAAAATAAAAAAGTTCCTTGTTTAAATTTATAGATATAAATAGAATTGCTTGCCATTATCAATTAGTATACTAATTTGTTATTCCGAACCATCTAAGACCATTGGTGCAATCATATGATTTTAATGGTACATTAATTCTGCTTTATTGCAATTATCAAATCTATTATTACACTTTTAAATTATTGCCAAAAGTGAAACAATGTTTTAAATCTAAAAATTCTTGTAGTATATACAATTTTTTTTCAATAATTTTAATATAATTATTCATTGTAATCGATGTTATTATTTCTAATCTCTAAATTGCAACTGTACATACCATTGATTCATACTATCTAAAAGAAAATTCCTAATTAATTTAACAGTTTTATAAAATTTTTAAGAAAAATAAAAATATTTTTAGATTATCGTAAACAACAATAGGATATTTTTAAGCCATCAAATAAAATTTTATCCTTTCCTTTTAGGTTGCCCATCAAGACTGTTTAAATTTATATCTTAAAGTATTGCTTGTCATTGAAAATCTTTTAATTCTAGCAAATACTTTTCTGACAATTATCATGATTGATTTTTGGATTATATCTTGTTTTTTTTTATTTTTATGTTTTTTCAATGGTAGTTTGGTTTGAAAAACAAATTAGTATACCAATTAATAAAGAAATTAGAAATTTATTTTATAGTTGTAAATAAAGTATATCAGCTTTAACCTTATTGGTTTATTGTTGTCCAAAAAGTGGAAAGGTAGTGCAGATTGGCTTTCCTTCAGGTGTTTGAAAAATGATATTGTGTTATTGTAGTATGTGGTAAAAGTAAGATATTAAACAACAAAATAAAATTCTAAATGTATTTTCTAAAATAAGATTTTTGACAGGCAATATTTTAAGATATAAATTTAAACAGGAAATTCCTTAGATAATATTTTAAAGATATCATACAATATAATGTAAAGTTGTATTTTTTGTTAGTTGTTATTTAGGGATTGGAAATAATAACACCGATGTTGCAATGAATAATAATATTATTGAAAAAAAAAAAAATTTTTGCAAAAAAAAATTAAACCTCCAAAATTTTTTTTAAACAAAATTAGAAAAAAAAAAATTTAATATGAAAAAAAAAAGATAAAAAAAAGATATCATACAATATAATGTAAAGTTGTATTTTTTGTTAATTGTTATTTATGGATTGGAAATAATAACATCGATGTTACAATTTATAATTATATTAAAAAAAAATTTTAATATGCAAAAAAAATTAAAAAAAAACCCAAAACTGTTAATCAAAAAATATATGGAAAAAAAAAAAAAAAAAAAAATCTGATTTTATTAAAAATTTAGTTTTTTTCCAATTTTTTTTTTTTTTAAATTTTGCACGAATTCATTATGATATTTTAGTGAAAAAAAGTTAAATAATATTTATTTATAAAAAATAATTGTTTTATTGTTTTAAAATTTTTTTTTTCCCATATTTGAAATTTTTATTTTTAATTTATAATTTATCATAAATAAAAGTATTGGTTTTAAAATTAAAAACCACTTTTAAGTTTCCCAATAACTTAAAATGTGGACTTTAACTCCACAAAAAAAAATTTTTAAGTTACCCGAAAAAATAATTTGGTGTTAATTTAATTTTTTTTTATTTTTTTTTATTATTAAAAATTAAATCGTGCTCAGTGTAAATTTATATAAAAAATTTATTGTTTTTATAACAATTTTAAATTATAAATAACTGTTTTAAAAAACTAAATTTAAATACTAAATAATGATATATAATCAACAATATGATATCAAATGCTTAGATCATCCCAAGCAAAATATAATTTCAATATGTTCAACTTGTCCAAACAACACTTAGAAAATGCATATCATTTATACTCGGCATGTGGAATGAAATGATTTATTTTAGAAGTAAAATGGACAAACAGTCAATTGAACATTACTAAATAGAAATTGCTGAAAAAGAAGGTAGTTTTGACTCTGGAAAATACTCTCACACCTTAGAAAATGCATATCATTACTAAAATCTTTGGCTTTGAAGGTATTAAAAATATCTATATCGAAAACTATTTTTTGACCACTTTTGTTTTCAACTCTTCTATGTTTTCCTTTAATGTTAAGCAACGAATGGTCAT